TTTTTGAGCAGAAATCGTGTTTTCAATGTCACATGCCAACAATTGTCATCTGGTCTTTTCTATATATATTACGTTGCAGTTTCTACGGTGGATTTTGCAAAAACAATTCGTTTGAACACTCGATGATAGGAGATTTGTTGATTTGGGTCCGTACAGTACAATCAATGTTAAACGCGGCCCAAATACCGAGCTGGATCTTGTTCAGAGTCCTTTTGACGTTTGGGCATCCAGATGTTAACCTGAAGAGTTACATTTTCTAACTGCTGAGCACTTACTTCACACTGTTCAGTTTTCCACGTCTGCAGTCTTCACCAAATCAAACCTTACTTGCCCACTGATTGCAATTTTACTATTAATTTGTCATGCTAACTGAAGGGGATGGCCGAATTCACTCGTCATCCGGAACGAAAAGGTTGCAGACACACAGACATCTGTGTGTATTCTATTAACATTTAAAAGACAGACAGTCTCACACTGTCTTGTTTGTAAAATATCATTACGAAGATGGAGAATAACCTATTTTGGTGAAATTCGCGTCACATGGGGAAAAATATCATCACTACCGCACATAGAGTAGATACTTTAATTTCACCATCAACCCAGACTCTAGGTTAGCAGAATGCTCATCATGTTTGATGAGATCAGGGAGACCATGTCTACTCCGTTTTCATGTTTTTACATAGCAAGTCTGAAAGAAAAGCAATTTCGGTATGACCAAAGTTCATTGCCTGGAACTATTCAGTGAGTTGATCAACAGATGCACATGTCAAGCGTTAAACCATGTAAGAACTGATAACTTTTCGCTCTGATCACACGAGTGTAGACTTTAGTGACATCAAAGCTGAGAAATGACTCATTCCTCTGCTAAGTTTCTTTGATTTAACTCACTGCAAAACGAGCTTTTGTGAGGTAATTTTGCGATTCATTTGAGAAATTGTGTTGGTTTTTATACAGTGTTGGCAATGTAGTTTAGAACTGGTCCGTTTGGAATACATTCTCTGATTTTCAAGCAGAATTTGACTGAGAATTGCAACGCTGGTTTCAAGTACCTCAATTACCCCAGTGGTTATCAGAGTATGTAAAATGGTTTAAGTGACTCTTATGCATTTGGATAGCATTGCATATAAAACTCTGTGGTGTTCAAAATAAGCTGATTTTTTATGGCTGTCCAAAGCACAGTTCGTCTATTATTATTATTAACATTATTATTATTATTGCAGAACCCTTCTATGAACCTACTGAGAAAAAGCGAATCACACCTAATTTAATTCTGCTGCATTTCATCTTGGAATATATTAGAATGGAAATTGACTAATAAGGACTAAACGAGCGGCAATTCTTCACTCTCAAAATGGCTAATTTAGTTCCTAGGAGAAAGAAGGGAGATAACAATGCTGTATGTCGCTGGGAAGTCAACCTTTTATGTTAGAGGACGCTGCTGATTAACGGTTGTAAAGCATCATACCAACTGCTTGGCTGGACTTCCTCTAGCCCGAGTAAATTTCTGCTCTTCCTAAGAGAACGCCAGAGTTTATTGATGCTTGAAACAGATTACCTCAACTCTATATTTCTCGTGGTTCCTACAATTACCCCTGTATTACTACAACACCCTTGTGTTTCTCATTCAAGTTAACCTGGATGACAGAAAACTTTTTTCTTTGTGCTGACATAGATATGAGGCACTGCTGATCGTTATACAGAGTTAAGATTTTACCTTAGTGAGGAAACCACAGCAGTTTTGGGTATCTTGGTTGTTCACCCCAGCTGAAGTGAAAAACCCCTCACCGGTTTAAAAAGCCTGAATAAAACAGTAGAATCTATCCTCAATTTGCCCATTGGGATAGAGAAATCTTTCAAGAGATTTTGATTTCTCAGCCTTCCGATGATGGGGCACTCCAGTGGGGAGACTTAGGTAAACCAGGAACACGGGTTAGTTGTTGAATTCGGATATGTACAGTAAATAACCAGCGGATCTGTTTCTGGGTGACATTCTGCTTTTGACGCGAAAAAATTCTCATTCCGGATGGGCAGGCTAGTATTCTGACTGGCGTGCTATGCACGTAACCTCTTTCGACTGGCACAATGTCGGTCAAAATTTCTTTTTGAGTAACTGGGCCCGGTGACTATGCCATGTGATCACGGGTTTTTAGAAGGAATTAGCCGTCAATGTGGGTGGGTTTTGGACTTGATTCCTCTTATTTGGAGCGTTTGAATGGATGTTCTTTGTTGCATATACTCCACAGATTTCGTTAGTTTTTGCGGGCTAGTACGTGCTACAACAACTCGATATCGGGTGAATTTTCAATGTTCTGGGTCAGATATTCTAACGTCCTCCTGTCACTAGTATCAACACACCACTCTATGTCAGCTCGGCTGACCTGAAATCGCTCGACTGCACGGCGTTTCGTTTTCCGGGCGAGTTAGGATTTGCAGTTCACGAGATGCTTGTCTCTCGTGTGATTTGGTAGTTCTTTGATTAGTTTATACGTTCCTTTAAATTTGCGCACAAGAATATACAGACCCGTATGTGTGACTTTGGGCTACTGTCTTATGAATATGAGATGGATGAGCAAAGAATATGAATCGCCAAATACAAGCTTCAACCGCCCAATGCACCTTTATTAGATATGATCTGCGAAAACACTGAGTAAAATTGAAAAGGTACTTGGAGTTTTTTGGAGTTTTTCCCAAACAAAGATCTACAGCATAATTTTCAGTTCAGACAAATGCAGAACACTCCGGCGCGACAGGCAGAAACTGTTCTATGATCTTCCTATACTCAGGTAGGCCTTGAAGTTCGTTCAAAAAGAAGGTGTATTCGTGATTCCAGTGAGCTTCTATTACAGTTATTAAAGTTGCACTGGGTGAGAAGGTTTAGTTCGTTATAATCGTAGGATTTTCTCCCGTCCTAGAAGCCAGATATAAATCCTCTTCTACGACTCATCTGCCACAAACATGGCTCAAATTTGATGGGGTTTCCAAGCTCACAACCGGGAACTCTGATTAGTACTATTTTTCAGTTTGTTGTGACACATGATTACTTGATTGGATTTGTTCCTCAGTGAGGCGGAAAATCGCGAGCATTGATCAAAACCAGCCACTTCCGTGAAATGGGCTTCAATGAGAGGAGTTAATGATGCCAAATAAGCTTCGAGGCAACGCCTTTTCAAAAGTAATTTATTCCGAATATGGTCGATCAGCAACTGACAACTGCACTTCATCTTTACGTTAAGACTTCGTCGTAGCAACACGTATGGATTAGAACAAGGAAATTCGCTGCGGAGGGTCAAAGGCCATGGATGATTAAATTGGCACCTGTTCGTTTGTCGAGGCTATACCATGGATTACGTGCAACCCAAAGCAGTCCTTGCTGGGTAATCGCCATGAAGTGGTGGGCTCTAAATGGGTTTTACCTCATTCCATAACAAAAAGTCATTAGCTAAAACAATCGGTTTCCTCCTTGGAGACAACTGTAAAGCATTTTCCCCCGGAAAATCTGAAGGACTGTTTAAAACTTGGTTATGACGTTTCGCTACTGTCACGAACAAGACACAAATAAAAACAATATTTTGTTGCCCTTTGTTGTAAAAATCGATTCGGCAGTGGTTTTCAGGCACTCGTTGCTAAATGTTCATGAAGCTAGACTTGTTATCTGACGACAATCTCTTGTATTCAAATCCCACACGGGACAATGATGGCGAAAATAGCCAAGCCAACCGATTTTACAAAAGACAAGGGATTCTAAATACCACACCGAGAAAAAGTGTAATTTCCGTACTCTAGATGTAAGTGATCAATCTTCGATTCATCTTGAAAACAGTGTCAGAATTCCCATCTCAAATTCCTAGATCCGCCCTTGAATTAGATGCATGACATTTCTCATGGTGGGGCGAAATCTTTTTACGATGCGCAGCAGACTGGCATTTCAAATCTGCCCAAATCGGAAGCATTTGACTTGTCACAACTGTCTGTCTCAATTTAGTATAGGGAAAACCACGTGTTCGGCGTCCCTACTGTCAGCAGAAAAACGCGTATTTTCTTCCCTAAGACTTTTTCTCGGCAAGAACGTATACCCTTCTGATCGATTTCCCTTCGTCGGTCGTTTTTCCCAACTGGTTTGTGCGTGCAGACAGGCACGTGTGTCTGCCTTCAGGCATATCCGCGCCAGCATTCTGCATTAAGCAAGTATTTGGTTTATTTTTAAACCTCTGTAAACTAACCAACTTTACCACGAAAATTTGGATAATAAGCAATTCGGTCGCCTGCTCCATCAAGTTGGTGGCTCCCGTTGGTAGCCAGGCCGTCAAAAGCACTATTTCCTACATCTATTAACTGTGCTAAGTGGCGTAAAACCTACTGACCTACTGACCGGATTTTTTTTTGAATGTGTGGTTCCGAAGGACTTCTTCCAAGTTACCGTAGAAGGACCTGAGTGCAGATGTTCCTCGCTTCCACTCCTGTTACTTGGTCTCACGATACTCACTGGCTTGTGGTGGCGACCTGGCTTATAATTGGTGAATGTTGAAAAATTGATACTGTCGACAAGTTTCGTACACGTGCAGAGAACGGGCTGGGGTCAAAACAGTGATAGAGTTTATGCGTTTTTCGGTAGACTGACCGATATATTTTGACGTTAAGAAAACCACAAGTATCACAGATAAAACTATTCGATGATAAACTGTGTTTGGTTGGTAGCCTATACATCACACGATGTCAAATTACGTTGTCCCAAACGGATGCTTTACACCTCGCACAAAACCTGAAAAAATGCATTCTTGTAAAAATATCTTGTCGAGTTTTATTAAACTCTCAATGGGACGTTGGGTGATTTCTCTGCCGTCACAACAAAAATTATCTCAAAACAATTTTAACGAATTCCGGGCCACATAAATTCATTGTAACTGGTACACTGAACCTGAAGAATAATAAATGACCTTCAAAAGATGTTAGATGAGTAGCAAGTACTATTCTGTTACGTAGATATTTGCAAATTATTTCAGCCTGCTGACCCAAAACCTGACGACTCGTCCCGAAATAGTGAAGCTTCTGAAGCGACACTGTGCCAGTTCAAATCGAGAAAAGCAAAAGCGAGTTGTGTTTCCTAAAGGTAAGGCTTGAAGGGTAGACAAAGAGAGAAATATTATCTGTATTTCCTGGTCATCAGCTGACTTAATAATGGGCACACAGTTCAAATTATCTTCTCTTAGAAAACAAAACCTACTGAATAAACACTTGTAGATCACCTGAAAGGAGGTGTGCTGAATCAGGAAGAGATAATCAGGGGGAAGTTACAAGCATCAACGACAAGGAAAGGTGTTATACAATCTGAAGAACTAGAGGGAGTAGATTTTACAGTTGCAGAACTCAAGGCATGATCGGTGGATCAATCCGAGGCTTCTGGATATTCAACTGTTTGGAGGATTCAGTGAAATTATCATAAAGCACAATGCAATAAGGGTAGGCTTTTCTTTCAAATCATGTTCTTCTGAAGTCTTACAGTTGTAAATTTCGAATGGGAGCGTGAAAAAAACCTAAGCTGCAACAATCGATGCACCTTAATAGGTTCTAAGCGCAGTGATTTAGGACTTTGTGTTGTCTGGCACGAAGACGCCACGGGCCTGCAACATAGGTGTATTGAATGAAGTTACTCGGATGGAGGGATAAATATTTGTCAAATGAACGAAGTAGCATAAGCTCTTAGCCGACACTCTTAGAAAGATGTTCACGGTTATGCTGGGTACTTTCAGATTCGCATTCTAGGTACAATGAGGCATTTAGACATTTTGATAAAAAAAAACTGCGAAAGTGTTGCGAAAGCACATAACCTTTCTGGAGTTTGTCTCCGGTAACAGGTAGAAGTGAAGTTGGTTTAAATGCGAACCCAATACTAATGCTACAGTATACCCGAAGATGGCTTTGAATAATGGCGCGGTGAGTGTCCTCTATTTTATTCGTTATTTATACACATTTCCCATTTTACTACCGGTGACACGTGAGAAGAATGATGCAGATCCTAGCCAAACGTTCTGTTTGCAAGTGTCACGTTTTCTCCGATGTACTGTCATCGGTTACTTATGTGCTTTATAAACAATGTTTTGTGGAAACCCCATAACCGAAACTAGACTAAACACAGTGTTGGCGGAGAAGTGACAGTTTGGCAAATGAAGGTTGTAAATTCGAATGGTTGTATGCAAAAGAAAAGTCCAAATAACGGGGAGGTTGATACTCTATGGGAGGTGTGTCTTACTTAAAAGGTGCACAATTTCATTTAGATAAAGGTGACAATAAAATTATCCAAGTCTACGTAGTGCTTGGCATTGTACCCATGAGGCACGAAAATGGCAAAGCCGCCTTACATCGAACTGAATATGGTTAGTGCTTTTAGTAAGTGCAAACAAACCAAGGGGCTTTGCAGTGAAATGTGGTAATTTACTGTGTTCTAGTTACTTCTGGTGATACCAGGTGGTAGGACCATGATGGACCATGATACTCCTCAGCAGACTTCTATCGATGCACAAAGACAGAAAGATTACCGATTTGTGGCGTTTAACCGGTAAAATAACTGCCACATCACGGCCTGTTCTATGTCAGTTTTCTTTTAAAGCAATCATAACGAAGTTTAAGACAATAAAGAGCCTTCTTTGTAGAGGTGCTTTTCCGTATAGCTGGTATCCGTTGGTTTGGTAAACTTCACCTCAGTTGATACGAAAGTTGATAAATAAAAAAAACTATACGAGTTAGACACGGAGCGATTGTTTAGCATTCAACGGAAGTCGAAAGAACACGGCAATGTCAAGTCTATGGATATGATTCAAATTATGGCTCCTCTGCTACAAATTTAGAAAAACAGGTAGTTTATAAAGAAATGAAAGTTCATCGGAGTCTGTTTCTTGCAACCAACCCGGGCAGAATTGCGGTAGTATAAGAGAACAACGCCGAGTATCACCAGAAAGCAGTACCGTGCGCTAGGAGAACAACTTAACACGTTTTTAGAAGTACATGGTGCACTGAGTACAAGTGACTCATGAAATAAGACGGTGCCTCCATGATTTTTCTATTGTTGGTGCAGTTAGAGTACTAGAGGTGGAACCGAATGCGATGCACTGGACGCACATACACTTGATAAACCGTAGACCAGGTGAAATCCAGGGGAGTATGATTAGGCGCACACATACATGATAAAAAAAACAAGTTTACGAAGTATAGGTGCTATCCGAGGTTGCTTTGTTCTGTCGTGGACGTTACGTGAAAATCAGACATAAACTTGTCAGACTTAGCTACAAAATTTCGCGTGTGGATAATGTTTAACTGAAGCCACCACAGGTTGGTCAAAACTAGTAAGTTTCATCTGACGTTATAAAATCTAGCGAAAGTATGTTTATACACTCGTCTGTTCTCTGCCAAGTATGTTGTGATCAGAAGTAACCAAATTTAAAAGTAATGAGGTGGCCGATTTTGCCACTACTCTAAGCTTAATGCCGAGCAGAGGAAGTTTCGAAGTTGATTGAGCACGATTGCAGCGTTCTTCTACAAATTCTAAATAGCTTCCTTGAACGTTGTCAACGCAATGTGCTGCAAAAGATTCAGTCATTCTCCCTCAAAGCACAAATAAAATAGCCTGAAGATAAAACCAGATTCTAGCGTAGTGACCAAAACAATTGTTTATTCACACGATTTTTGTTCTCAGTGTCCAGTAGATATGATTTGCAGTTAGACACATAACCCTCATTGCAGAAGAACAAATGTCCTATCGTAAATCCTCAGTTGTCGTTGGACTGAGGCGCTGTGAAACTTTACTTCATAAAACCTCCAAGCACAACACGCAGCGCCGTTCGTGTAGACGCCACACACTCAGGAATTATCAGCACCTAGTTTATACCCTCATACAGTATTTATGGTCTCTTTTCTGTTTTTGCAGAATCAGAGGCCACGACGCTTAGTATTACAAAGGTTATTGTTGACACTGGTACACCACACCATTATGCATTATGCAATGACTGACCGGCTGACAGTCGAGGATGACTCATGCCCATGTTCAACCATCACGCCTACAAAAATACTTCACTTAAATCTTACACGAATTTTTCATTGGTCATTTACATCTACGTACTAGAGTCACGCAGATGAACATAACTGAAACGCGTCCACATTTTCCGGTCCCAGTTCTAGGATCTGGTTTCGACGTGCGGCCACCTATTTTTGCAGAGTGAAAGTAAGCGGAATAGCATTAACCAGATTAAGGTCGTTTGGTTGTCTGAGATACGACGCCACTGTTGACCAGAGTAATAACAGTGAATACACACACATTCACATATTCAAGGATTCAGCTGAGGGTTAGCATGCACTTTCGGCGTCGTATCTGTACTCCACACAGATGCATGCTCTCCACCAGCTTGTCCGTACCATTATTGCTGCTGTGACTGAAGATTAACAAACTATACCTCCAGTAATCAGGAAGACTATGTTCGGTTGACAGAGTATGTCATCGTTGTACACAGTAAACACTTCCTTCCTTGTTCTAGAAAGCACTTCCGATCCACAGCTGACGGCTGAGTGTTATTCAGCGGCGTTGGAACCATGTTAATAATGTCATGCTGTGTAATGCGATCAGTCGAATTGGCTTCTTTCTCTGCTGTCATGAGGACGGCTTGCCTGTTCCGGGCTCGCAACAGAGAGCTTTCCTATCGGTGTTTTATTTATCGTGATGAGAACCGACCGATGCACAACGCGTGCGAGTGGCGTCATTGATAATCAAGCTGTGGAACTTATTTTTCTAGTTCTCGAATCTATAATTTCTTTAGCTGAAATTGAAAAAGGTGCCTTATATTCCATTTGAAGATGTACCATAATAAGGATTATCGAACGCCTTTACTCCGGATGAAACGGAATATTCTATCAAGCATCACACAGGCGGAAACTCCGACACACTTCGGAGCACAGCGTCTCTTGTTAGGAGTACTCCAGCGGGGGAAATGTTTTGGTTTCTTCTACAAACATAATTTTTGGAAGGTAATGTGATGCCAGATAAAAATATCTTGTTTCACGATCTCTTAAATATCCGACCTTGATCATCATTGGGTTCATCAACCAGCTATGATTTATTATCTACCATTATCAGTCTTCCACATCTTTGGACACATGTCTTGTCTAGTTATGGTACCAAAAGACAGACTAATTGCGAGTGGCTTGTCTCTTGCCTCCATCTTCTTATCGCAGAACGATAAAGTGCTCCACTGTGTCTGGAAACTGCATAAAGCAGAAAATTTTGTAAGTTCTGAAACCACGATAAACGCTCCTCAATAAGCATATCACTTACAGAATTCAGTATATCTTACAACTCGGTCCTCACAACTGCTCGGTAGGTTGATAATAGATAGTAAATGGATTCTCACTTGGGCAACCAGAATGAGTTTTTCTTCCCCGTTCTTGATAATAAACCTCACTGGTAGCATAATCAACGCAATAGCTTAATGGAGACTTTGAAAGTTAGGATGACGAATATCGTGTCACTATCCGTACTTGGATGCTCCCCGTCAGTCGAATCAGACGTGTTTCACGACCAAGTATTTTAAAGTTGGCCAACTTGAATTCTCCGTTCCAAACTTCCTTATTTGCACAGTCACCTTTTGTGTAAAAATGAAAAATTTCCTCCACTGCGCACGTAATCACCCAGGAATAAGGTATTCACATTGGTGAAGTTACTCCTTGGAAAAAAGCTGATTAGTGTTAGGATCTCTGTGGAATTAGTCACGGAGCACATCAAACTCTACTTGGACTCATTTAGTTCATTTCCTTTTACTGTTCGCAAGCTAGGACATTGGTTGGTGAATAAGAATCGAGGAGGAAGTCTCGGATAGGTTCAGGAGGATCTTGGAAATCACCCATCAAAATGGGCACGAATAAGTATAGTCTCAGGAGATATCACGTGAATCATGGCTATCTGCAACCTCCATACCTATTCAGGGGTGATGAGATGCATCAATATATCCAGGGAATCCTAAAATGTCGCCGGGACCACGTATACCTCATGACTGAAATGATTTTTATGGATATTTAGTATGGAATTGCTCCGATTGTACTGGGACACTAACATGATTGGTTATACAACGTTATTTAGGCACTCTAACTGTCATTCCGAAGAATTGACGCTGGAAAGTTCGGATATGTTTCTACCAAGTTGAAACCAGGTACACGCCGCTTCAGGTTTGACACAAATCCATCTATTCTCGTTGTCACCGCTGCTTTTGGTAATTTTAGCCTTAGGAATGTATAGCTGATTTCGGACTTGTGCAAAAGTCAGCCTGCATTAAATAGCTTCTCAACCATTCCAGGCTAATAATTGCGTATACGGAATGAGTTGACTACAAGCCACCCTTTTAAGCAAGCACGGTCATAAGACTAGCTGTAAATAAACCGAACTGACATGTGAACTACCGAACAGTATAATTAGTATCAGTTTATCTGCAGTGCCTAGCCACCGAAGACTTTCACTCCTACTGGGACTCATCAGGTTAAAGCAAGGAGAAACAAACTTGTTGTTCTACAACTAAGGACATAGAATGACTTTACAATTGATCGAAAAGGGCTGTCCAAGATAATTGAAACGATGAATTACAGCGTCTTACTCAACTACGATGCTTCGGATTTAAATTTTCCACATCATACGGCGTTTAATCTGTTTAAAAAGATCCTTGAGGAGTTTGACTCGGAACCCTTAAGGCCATAAAGGCTGCCTGCCAAACTGTACTATACTGTTCACGTTAATATAAACTTTTCGTAGAAATGTTGTTAGCCTTGATATGCGACGTACGCAGTACACCATCATAGCTGACTTTGCAGTAAAAATCATTGATCAGTGGCATGAAATCGATTGAAGTCGTGATATCGGAATATAAACTTAGAAAAGAGTACTTCTAATGTGGTCCTAGTTATTCTTATCCATTCTTCTGTTTTCTTATGTAGCGGCCAGTCTTCTTAGGGTAGTTGTTCTATTTCATAGCAGCGCACCATGGCATTCAGAGCTGCACTAGTGGAAATTTTCAGACTTCCAGACTTTCCGAATTAAAACCAAGTAAAAGTCATTTGTGAACGACAAGGATTTGACAAAAACTAGCATATGAACCAAGCATACACTCACCGTTTGATCACGTGGCTTAATCGGTGTCGTAGCCCTAATCAACTCTGTTTTCTCCTCCCTAACTTTCCCACGACAAAGTCATGGCATCGGAGAAGCCACTGAATAAAGCATTTCAGTTGCATGAAAACCGAACTAGAAGGTCGGAAACTAAATGAGAAGGGTCAAAGTGCACAACTGCTATTGTGCGTGAATAAACGGAGACAAACTTTGTTACCGTAAATTGCTTTTCTGTAAAACTATTTTTCGGTGGCGCCTTTCCATTCTTTCATTGCTGAAGAAAAGTTGCCGATTTCTTTAAAGTGTTTGATACACTCGTATCAGCAGTGTTGCTCATTCCAAATAGATCAAACATTTTCAATCACTTCCAACTTACCTGACAGCTTCCACATCCAGCACATCCAGCCTTCTCATCCTACGGGTGTCCTACTATGCAGCCAATGGAGGCGGCGACGCCGAGCAAAGCGGCCAAACAAGGGAAACCAGACCATACCTCATCAAGAAGAGCCAGAATGGACCGGTGAATAGGAATAACCGTTTGCCATTCAACTAAACTACGTGAACGTAAGCTGGAAAACAGGAAACACCCACCGGAAAACGCATTGATAATGTTTCTTTGAATGTTAACGAAACTTCTGCGAATCATTTGCCATACTCAAAAAAAACAATCTCGGAACTGAGTAATCCAACCGAGCTACTGATATTCTGTAGTACCACCGACTTGACTTACGAATGAAAAAAAATTGGGTGATGTTCTCAGGAGGAACGCAATGAAACATAGTTTGATGAAGCCTGCACACGACTAAATGTAGGGGCGTACTCACAAAGAAAACATACCGTGGGACCACTCAGCCAGAGGACCTGACAACAGTTCGCATTTTTTGCCTCTCACAAAGGTTGGTTTGTTATTTAGCACATGATACAAAGCGTTCATCTGGTGGACAACTATCTCAATGGGACCAGCCCCTCTTTCTGGCGAATACATACGGTTATAAAACAAATTCACTCTACAATTTGGTTGGTTTATTGATGTTGAACAGCAGAACACTGGTATTCTTGGGAGAGGCAAAGCCAACAAACGCGTGTGAAGTCACATACGCCTACGCGCACGATAAGTTACCGGGACAATAAGACACTAGTTGCTTGCGGCTGGTTACATATATACAAAAGTTCCATATAATAGGGAAGCACGTGGACACATGCATGATCAACTACCATCTGGGAAAATGACTGATCCAATGAAAAAATATTGGGCTTGTGATGACACGATGAATAAAGAGAAGTCGAACCGTTCTGATTGTGTGTTTCAAGGTGGAGCGGAGGTCAAAAATCTGAAATTACTCAAGTCCGAAAGGTTGATAGTGTGAAAGACTAAGCTGCTGGGAGTGGCTAGGGAAATGGGCGGTGACTACAACTTAGTCGCATCAGTGGCGTTATAAATGACTGCAACGGAACTGGCAACAACCAGATACAAAACTCAGTTAGCTGCTAACCTCTTATAAAGTTGTGAGCCGCGTTGTATACAAGTCCCGTATCACACTGTCTCACAAATAGTGCACCCAAGAACCATCACCGGCAAGATCCGTTGCTTTTGCGTAACACATGACTGAGTAATTTTGTCCGAAATTATTGTCCCAAAATTGCTCCCCGGTGTGTGCATCATATCGAATGGCAAATTGAGCTCGTCTTCCTGGAACCATGGTGTCAGGGAAGACTAAACTGAAAGAGAATCTATCCGTCGCGCCGTCATGTGAACCTTGGACATAGGAAGCAGTTGTGTCACAGTAGGTAGACCAATCATTATAGGTGGCCCGAACGAAAACACGTTTTTCGAAACCCAGGCTTCGTACACGTATGGTCCCGTTCAAAACGCCTCTGGGCATTTCAACGTGGGCATCTTCGAGACACACAGTTTGATCGAGCACCCTTCGAATAAAATTGGCCGCAGAACCCGGTTGCGAGAAACACATTCGAAATTGTTTGGCACCAAGTTTTGCTATAGATTCATCAGTATCAAGTTCAAGATCAAAAGTGGCCGAAGCCGGAATTTTGGGAGGGTTTTCCTGATCAAACACATGCCGAACAGTTTCTAGGTCCAGTCCCAAAGCATCGGCGAAGCGCACCACCTTCTGCCCGGGCGTTCCCGGAGGAGTGCGTTGTGATTTCAAGGAACTGCTTCTCTTGGGTTTGGGGATGTTGGGTACGTCGTCCTGGAAAGTTTTAAACCCATCATAATCCATATGGGATGGTACACTTTGAGTGTCAGTCAATCGACAAGAGTTGGCTGAGGAAACTGGACCCTTTTCTTGACTTTGTCTGTTAAAAGAAATAGATAAGGGTGGAGTAGCAGATAGGCCACGTTCTGTTGCTTCATCTTCACCAATTCGTATATTAGCCAGCGCCCATGCCAATGTGTGGTCATGGCGATCCACATCCGGAAGATTCAGATCATCATATTCATTAGAGGATGGCGCTTTGTCACAGTTATCTATAACTGTATTCGATTCCACCGTAGCCGGGCTCAAAGGAGAAAATGAATTATCAGACATAGACAGTTTACCTGGATACGGTAGACGTTCCTCAGAGTTGGAAGAAGTGGATTCTAAATCAAATTGAGTCCGTCTTTTGGAGGAATCCGACTGCTCGGAATCATTGGTCGGCGGATCTGCCCATGCATACATTTTTCTTGTTTCTGGGGTTATGGAAACTTCACTTGAATCTGACAAATTGCGTGGAATCACGGATTGCAGTAGATCTTTGATTAGAACGTCTCGAGTCAGTTCGTCAATGAGTCCATTGTTTGCATCAGCGTAATAAGTACTCAGTAGGGTGAATGCAGGCTGGCATGTTATATGCGAGTCCCTACACGGACCATTTACAAGTAGGTTGTCGGCGTCAAAATCAAACGGTACGTCTAGGTCTGCAAGCGGCGTTTCGTTGAAACTGTCTAGCGAATTGTTTGACGAAATGAGCGCTACTTTACTGTCCGCGATGCTAGGAACACAGTGGTTTTCGCTGGGTCTGGCTTCACTAGTTCCGTGATATTCAGCTGTCAAGCTTTCCTCGTTGGGCTCAAAATGGATACTGGTCACTTTCGTATCCTCCAAGACCTGTCCAGAAAAAGGCTGGTTATTGCCAACGCACACACAATCAGCAGCAGTTACTAATTCGTTGTCTTGTTCACCCGCTTTAATCACGGGCCATTGATCGGCAACTGGCTGCTCAAGAACAATATGTCCACAATTAAATATTCCTGTAAAAGCCGTCCACAGTAGATACCTTAAATAACTCCATCTGGATTTGTAAGTGCAGGGTGGGTTCGCTGGACAACTTTGTACAAATTCGTTGTTAGCTGTATGGTTGTGTTCGTTGTACGGGTTATCTGCTACTGTAATGACTAAGTGTTCAGCACTGGACATCAGCCAGATTACATCGCATAGGAGCGATACCAACCCAGCGTGGTTGCGGAGTCTCTAGACGCATCAATTGAGCCCTCCGCACGATCGCCATTCCCCACCTATCGACTAAAGTATCTGGTTGCGGTATCCGCCAATCGGTACACTGTACGCTGGTACGGGTGAACGAGCCGTAGTGGCGGCGCGAACAGCCCAGTAACCAATGAGGGCAGCGAACGGTTTAGATGGCCTTGAACATTACAGCGACGTGTCTGGCAGTCTAGTGGTGTCAGAGGACACGCCAAGAATAGCATAGCTTCCTAAACCAAGAGCCCACGTAGTATCAAGGCTTGACCCTACAAACCATTGAAGACCTATGTCTGCCTATTTCTTGTGTCTTATTTCCTCTTTACTTTGTTTTGTTCAGGCTATTTTCCGTAAGGATATACTATTGAAAATTCTTTCACAAACAGTTGAGTACCGAATTGCCTTTTTGCGCGTGAAGTCATTAGTGCATATGTGGTGATAGCCATAATACAAATCGGAAAGTGTGTGCACTAGTAAAAGTCTTTAGTATGGTTGCGACACGTATAAAAATAAAAACAGTGCGAAATGGGAGCGAGTCAAAAAAAGGAACTCACCGTATGCGAGAGTCCTTTGGTGAAAGTCCGGACGGCGGGAACGTGTTTTCTCCGCAGCTTGGCTGCTACACGTATTCCATGATTGTCCGTGGACTTGGGAAGAGCGCCTTGCTCCCTGCGCGCGCGCAAGTCTGTGTCCTGACTGGGTTCGGTTTCCCTTTATGTGGGTCCCAGTGCCTGCACGTGGGCACGTCGGCACATGAGTAGTTGCTATTCTGACTAGGCAGTGCAGCAGACAATCGATGTCCGATGAGTCAGCTTAATGTGACGTGTTTATGAGTATGAGAAAAAAGACAAGCCTCGCGATCCAATGAGCGATTGTGAGCTGAACAGTCATGTATGTGGGGGACTGGAAGCTACAAAGTTACTCATTGTTGGACAGGAACTTGGACAGAATGCGAAGAAAACAAGCCATATTTCGGACGACAAGATTGCCACTTTAAATTCGATAACTAAACTTACCACGGTATTAGAAAGGTGTTTAGTATGTCGTTGGCATTTACTGTTGTTGCTCACTGGCCTCACACTTTTCCAAAGCTAATTTTCTTTTGCATGGTGCAGGATCTCTAACATACGAATAAAAACGCTGGAAAACTAAGGGAGGTTTTCACAACAGTCGAGCAGGGAATAGCTTACGGGCAAGTAAAGCGGAAAACAAAAAACACTGTGCGGAGGTCTGATGTTTGCATCAATGAGCTTGATCTCATTGCGTATGGGGTGAAATGGGCTGGATTCAACAGTCCAGGACCTTGAAACTGGTTGTAGGTGAGTTGTGGGATTTTTGTTCCCATCATTTCGTCAGCCCGTTACCACGGCGCGATATTTCAACCCATGGCTCTGACAAATTTACCCAAGGTTAAGAGATTACACACGCCTGATTTGTAAACCACTGCCCAGTATGTACAGAAAGTTCAAATGTCTAAATAAGTGAACAAAGAACTGTCTCCTTACGGGACAAGAGAAAATACCTTTCAACAACTCATTCGAATTCACCAGAAGAGCCTCAGGAACGGACTGAGAGTCAAACGGGAAGGTCAGTTCGCGGGATGCCTCTAAAGGGGTGAGACTGGATGCAAAAATGTCGGTGTCAATATTCATGGTGTTGCCTAGTGGTATACTCATAGCAAACTTTTGCTGGGATAATCAATCTGAAGATAATTCGTTTGTTGGTAGTAGGGTGTTTCGTTTTGTCCTCCATACAAAAGTGGACACGAGAACCTTTAGGTGTCGTGTACGACTGTGACGTGAAGCGACTACCATTTAACATCGAGAAGCGTACTAACCATTACCTATTAGGAATTTTATGACAATTCACATGAGACACAAAACTGGAGGATCATGATAAAAATATGAAGTATATTTCAGCACCTTGTGATATGTTGACTGAAGCTCAAAGCGTCAATGCATATTGAATGTACACAGCAGTAGTTTTAAGCGGGTGAGTTTCAGGAGAGTTTAGAGGCTTTCTTTTGTGGAAAAAGTTGTGCAGGAGATCATCGTGGTAATACAAAGCCTAAACAGACTGGGTGAAATTTGAACCAAGAGACAAATGTGAAAAAGATTGCTCCTTACGAATGGTTTCGATACTTTGTAATACTATTTCACCTACATTCAAGACCTGCTTATATCCAATCCAGATATTTAGAAAGTTACTTAGAGCCCTGTCTGCTTGAGAGATCCTAAAGTCAATCAAAAACTGTCTACCATTTTGAACAACAAAGGCGAATGTCCCATCAATTCTTTCGTCAGATGCAGCAACTCATTTGCATAAATAGGCACGTGTTTGGTGATTTCTCTGTACGTAAACATTTCGGCATACCTATCTGTTGAAATCAGCTGAGGGCTGGCTTGACAACAACAGCGCGTGAATGACAAGAAGTGGACGGGCGCACAAATACCATCCGACTTGAATGGAAAAAGGTTTTTAAGTGTTTTATCCAAGTTCTTTGAAACGGAGCTTCCTGTGTTGGAAAATAAAAGAAGTTGAAAATACAGCAGGAATGGTTATTCAAATTTTACAACCAACTACGATTGACTGGAAACTCTTCTAAAAGCTGAATAATTCACCGTAGGCATATAATTTATTACCAAGTTTCTTCAACAGCCTAGTTTACGTGCACCGAGTAGTGTGGATCCAAATCAAATGAGTGGCTTGGCTAAAGAGGACGCATGTTGTCATAAGCCTTTACCTAATTCGGGAAAGTACCTCTCGTTATAGTATCCAAATGCAAGTTTGGATAAAGTGGAGCTCTTGTTTCTCTCCCGAACAACATCTCCGGCACTCTTTGCCTGCTGGGACGATTAATTTCCTCTGCAGATACATGTAACAATGTAGAAGAGATTTTCATTCATGACCTTCGTGAACTACTCTGACATATTTGTTGTAGTCGGCTGGAATTGGGCCTGGGAATGTGTGCAGCACCTGACAGTTAACACCTGGTTCCGATGTAGCGGCGTTGAGCCAAATTTCATCGGCGGTGAACACGAACAAAATCTCTCGCCAATGTGTACGAAATTGGCTGTCTAGAACTAATAGGGAGAGAGCACATTAGATTTTACAAAGATCATACCAATACAGCTGAACAGGCACGATACTTGTAATGTACTACTCATAAGGTTGCTGAAAATCCGTCGACATCCCACAACCAGTTTCGCACTTTCTGGGGCTCATCAGGTAGGCGCAGTCCCCGGGTTTCCGTCAACCTTATGTTCTACTTGAAACCAGATTGCACGGAATTAGCGAATATACACTCATTTGCAAACTCATAAACGAGAGATTCAGCTGGGTTCCAGGTGAGCCTCGAAAAAAAAACAAATTGGTTTACAAATGAGTGTATATTCGCTAAGGCGACGATACTCTTCTACTGGCTAATGTGGAAAGAGCACCGAAAATTTCAGGCTAGTCAGTATTCTTCCAAAGTATTATTACTGTGCAGGTTTCCTGATAATGGGCACCCGTAGAAACTACACACTACGTCACTTTTTAAGGAAGAATTTTGGATTACGGAACTTGAAGCATCCCGAAGTAATAGGCAGTCTGATTGCTTTCTAAAAATTTCTTTCAGTCTTTCACTCATATTTTCAGCCTAATGTTTTTTCAACCATTATGTTGGTTCGGTTGAGATCTTATTAGTATTGTTACAATGGTGTATAGGCCCTTTAGATGCGAAACGTGTATTGTCTTATCTGGAGTGAGCTTTTTGACGGAAGCCGACTAGCCGACACGCAACCCGATAAAGTGTGATAACCTTGTCACCTAACTATGATGCTGCAACATCTTACCCATCTCCCTTGAGTGGTAGTTTTCAGGTGTGCCAGGTAACTACAACTTCACCAAAATTCCATTGATTGTGAGCCATCGCTTAGTTGCAATATTTCAATCGAATGACTCGCTTATAGCGTTTGTTTGAAGTGTGATTGAAAAACATCTGAGACATTCAGATCTTCGAATTTACAGCTTTTATGTTTCCATTCAGATTTGGCTTAGTTATAATTGATATAACTGAGAATCTATCTGGAGGAGTGGTAAGCGGCCTTGTACGCTTTCTCATTTCGCAAACCTAGGTACGCAGAACGGAACAAAGAATATATGATCAGTACAAATTGGACCTTTTCTCCGTCTTTACTTTAGGGAGGTTATTCACGCCACTCACTATGTATGATGTGTTTTATGCTATCCACTGTGAGATGGAAGCATGCGCCCTATCCAGGAAGAGACATGAGGGTTCTTAAGAGGGTCAAAGCTGGGATTTGCTAATAACAAGAGGTAACAATCTACGAATTTATTCCACCCTACTGGCATTATCCAAACCTCCGAACAGTGCACTAATTAACTAGGAGCAAAATCAACTTATTGTCGCGTTTGTGTCCCTGTAGCGTCCAAAACACTAAACCAATGAACTTTTTGTTAACGGGTATCAGCGAAGATACGAGAGTGAACCACATCAGTCCAAATTTCTGTAAAACCAGTCAGACTTTCTAGTGTTTGACTTTCATCCCGAACGACTATTACGTTTGCGTGTAGACTTGATATTCCTATGATTTTCTCCTCAATGTATATCCGTGTACCCAAAATGATACAAACAACTTGGTGGAAACTGTTTAGGAATCCTTTCACGGCTCTGCCAGTTAATGAAAACATTTGCGTTCATTCGATTTGGTTGGCACTTGAATCTAACATAGGGTCCAACATCACCGAAGGCTGATATCAAAAAAGGCATCAAGTATTGGTTACTGCTAATTTTCATCGTGAAACACCTCTGACGTTCGCATGTCATTCTCACGGTAGTCCTAAATCCTCACAAACTGTGCATCACGTTTGTCAACCTATCTGACAATACCTACATACGAAAACTTGGATAAAAAGTGCGTGCAGTGAAAAAACACAAGGATGTGCTGAGTCCTGCACGAGGCAAT